TGTGCATACATCTAAACATTATACAGAGTGGTAAAAAGTGGAGCAATTAACCATTATTGAACGATGTCAGATCATCGATATACTTGAAGCTTAAGTTACATTCTTTGACAATACGAGTATTTCCCTTGTTTGGATTTTGCCAAGTATATATCGAGTTGTCCATAGTCCTAGACAACCATATACTTCTGTGTCGAGTTACGGAAATGCGAGTTAATCACTTTTCAATCGCTATAAATATCATCAGTCGTCGGATTTATGTGTATGGGTGGTCCAGACGCAAAAGGCGACATTGTCTGGGGTTCGCATCCCGCTTGTCCTAATTATGTTTGGGGTTTGTCAGCACCATACCTGTTTTTGGAAGTCATAACCAAACTTCTAGGACCCGCATTACGTCGGGCCTTACTCCCGCATCCAACTGACATACAGTTATATAACTTAAATACTATTCATATCGGCGTTCAACCCAACTCACTCCATCACCGTACAGAAATAGAGTGAGCGAATAAATGTGTTTTAGCCGTATTCCAGCAATGTTACGGCGGGCAACACCAGAAATAAGCATATTGTGCCCATGAAGAAAGTCGTACATGGGAAATAGAATTCATACTTTAAATTCATTTATTAACAAACGTATATTTATTAATAACAGTTGGGATATTAAAGATTCATGCACTTTAAATTGTAAAAATCAACTGTATTACATTTCTAGCAATACAACTTTAGCGAGCGACCGCTGAACGTCAGACACGTGAAGATCCGGGTAGAGAATATGTCTTTAGCAACCCATGCGTGCCCTAAGAGTCGACTATGCTTGTCGTGGGAGTAACGAGTAACGGGATCGGGTGGTCATGTTATCGTATCCAAATTGCGTGGATCGATGCTCATTATGTCAATCACTGGATTGTCTGGTCTGATCCAGTCTCTATTATATACAGACCGCCGTCATATAGATGGAATATCGCTGAGTGCAGCGTTACACAACAAACAAACAAACAAACCTGAACATCAAACCTGATTCATTAATATTACTATAGTTAATTTGTCATGGCATATAGGAAAGTAACATAAAGGAATCGGATGTTCTTTGACTTCTTGTGACCAGTATCTCTGTATATGTTCTTGTCAGAGTGTGCGGGGGTATACATAACTGATGGAATAGCCAATGAAATTAGCATATTCAACCTTTAATTATGACGCAACTAACTTCTTTAATTTTGTGAAAAGACGACTCAGATAGGCGTTGGACATTTTCAAAATATATATGTCATATCCATTTTCTATCATTTGTTCATGTCACACGCACGCACGCACGCACGCAGGCACGCACACACACACTTTAATGCGATAATATGCTCCCATTAAAACACACTTGAAGACTTTCTCGTGCTACATGTTTATACAGTGTAATTCTTACTAGTGTATGTGATAAATATTAATATGCTGAATCATCTCAAATGTCAATCACATCTATGCATTTTATTTACACGAAATGAGGTGCGGGAATTTTAAGACAAGTGCGCGTGCGGCTGAATACGACACCTGCAGTTGCGCTAGAACTCGTGCAGCACGAGATCGGTAACTGTCTTGTTCAAGTGCACGGGTTGATCTATTGACACGTGAGCAGCTTGTCTTTTCATACCAATGCATCGACATTGGTGAGGGTGTATTTTACCTTGGGTGACCTTTGTCAACTGCCTCACAATTATACAGTGTGCATGGGTTACAGACACCCATTGGTGAGTGAGGTGAGGTGAGGTGATATGGGGTGAGATGGGGTTTAATGTCGCGTCGCGTCGCGCGCGCGCGTGTGTGTGTGTGTGTGTGTGTGTGTGTGTGTGTCTGTGTGTGTGTGTGTCTGTGTGTGTGTCTGTGTGTGTCTGTCTGTCTGTCTGTGTACACATTGGTGAGAGGTGAGGTGATATGGGGTGAGATGGGGTTTAATGTCGCGTTATGCACGTGTGTGTGGGGTGATATAGGGTTTAATGTCGCGTTATGCACACGTGTGTGTGTGTGTGTCTGTCTGTCTGTCTGTGTGTATGTGTGTGTACACATTGGTGAGAGGTGAGGTGATATGGGGTGAGATGGGGTTTAATGTCGCGTTATGCACGTGTGTGGGGGTGAGATGGGGTTTAATGTCGCGTTATGCACACGTGTTTATGTTTGTTTGTGTGTGTGTGTGTGTGTGTGTATGTCTGTCTGTCTGTCTGTCTGTCTGTCTGTGTGTATGTGTGTGTACACATTGGTGAGAGGTGAGGTGATATGGGGTGAGATGGGGTTTAATGTCGCGTTATGCACGTGTGTTGGGTGAGATGGGGTTTAATGTCGCGTTATGCACGTGTGTGTCTGTGTGTGTGTCTGTCTGTCTGTCTGTCTGTCTGTGTGTATGTGTGTGTACACATTGGTGAGAGGTAAGGTGATATGGGGTGAGACGGGGTTTAATGTCGCGTTATGCACGTGTGTGTGTGTGTGTGTGTGTGTCTGTCTGTCTGTCTGTTTGTGTGTATGTGTGTGTACACATTGGTGAGAGGTGAGGTGATATGGGGTGAGATGGGGTTTTATGTCGCGTTATGCACGTGTGTGTGGGGTGAGATGGTGTTTAATGTCGCGTTATGCACGTGTGTGTGGGGTGAGATGGGGTTTAATGTCGCGTTATGCACGTGTGTGTGTGTGTGTGTGTGTGTGTGTGTGTCGGCCTGTCTGTCTGTCTGTGTGTATGTGTGTCTGTCTGTCTGTATGTGTGTGTACACATTGGTGAGAGACACTTTGATTTAATAGCAGGTGCCAGTACAGATCCTCATGTTTATTATCAGTAGTACTAGTAGTTGTAGGAGGTGGAAGAGGTTGGCGATTAACGCATTAGTAGTAGTAGTAGAAGTAGTAGTAGTAGTAGTAGTAGTAGTAGTAGTTTGTTTGTTTGCAGCTATATGATGGCGGTCTGTGAATAATCGAGTCTGGACCAGTCAATCCAGTGATTGACATCATGAGCATCGATCCACGCAACTGGGATACGATGAAATGCATAAACCAAGTCAGCGATCCTGACCACCCGATCCCGTTACTCGCCTGTTAGCAGGAGATCGGGGATAACCGTATTAGTATGAGTAGCATTAGTAGTAATTTTAGTAATGTGGTGGTAGTAGTAGGTCGGGCATAAACGCAGTAGTAGTAGTAGTAGTAGTAGTAGTAGTAGTAGTAGTAGTAGTAGTAGTATACCTCAATCGGAGTATATCTCGTACCCCCAACTGGCGTTTAACAACATTTATACTGAACCAAATAAAAAACTTCACAATCCTAAAATTTTAAACATTTTGACCAGTTATCATTGTGGGCCCTTATTGTGTATTTAAAACAGTAATGGCCACGTATTGTCTTTAGATAACAGCCGTTTTTGTGCAGGTGAATCGATCAAAATCATGTTCACAGCACAATAGTGGCAAAAGTGGTTTTTCACGTGCAACTGGTCACGTAGCCATAATACCGCACGTGTTTTCAGCCATACTTGTTAGCAGTCATTAACAAAAAAAGAACACACAAGAAAACAAAAGTCTTTACGGCCATTTGTCATGCCACACCTTTCAAATGTGCAACGTGAACGTGCCATCGGCATGTTGCAGACGGGAACGTCCGGAGCTGAAGTCGCAAGGACGATGGGTTGTAGTTGACCGACTGTTTATGATTAACAGACGCGTCTACAGCAAATGGGTACCACCGCTGATCGCCCTCGCCCAGGTCGACCACGTGTGACGTCACATGCAGAGGATCGTCAGATTGTCTTACATCACTTCCGTAACCGATTTTTGACGGCTACATCAACCCGAAATGAACTGTTTAGGGGTAGACTGAGTGCGCAAACTGTTCGAAACCGTCTGAGAACTGCTCACCTTCAAGCACGACGGCCATACTGTGGGCCGATTCTGACTCAATTACACAGACGTCAACGTCAATTGTGGGCACAGCGACACTTACGATGGACTCAGAGGAATTGGAATCAAGTCGTCTTCAGTGATGAATCCCGATTTAATCTTCGATTTGCTTATGGTAGGGCGAGGGTGTGGAGGCGCCATTATGAACGTTACGTCAAGTGTTGTGTACAGGAGGTTGACAGATTTCGAGGCGGAAGTGTTATGGTGTGGGGTGCTTTCTGTGGCAATGCACGTTCCAGGCTTCTTGTCATCTGTGGCAACCTCAACGTTGCTGCTAACCGCGACCAGGTACTGGCACCAGAACTTCTGCCTTTTATGGCAACACATGGACCCGGTTTGATCTTCCAACACGACAATGCCAGACCCGACACAGCAATTTTGACAAGGAATTTCCTTCAGGATGCGGGAGTCAACGTCATGGACTGGCTGTCAAGGTCTCCCGATCTCAATCCCATCGAACACGTCTGGGATGCTCTTGGCAGAAATCTGCGCACTCTCCAGAACCAACCACAGAATTTGCAAGATCTTGGCACCATTTTGCAGCAACAATGGCGTCGTCTTCCCAATCATGTGTTCACAAGCATCACAAGGTCCATGCGGAGGCGTTGTGTGGCAGTTGTCAACGCACATGGTGGCCATACACGCTACTGAACTTGTGTGCCATCAGATTCTCGTGCTTGGGACTTATGATTTAAACTGTTGATGTCTAAAGGGACATTCCTTATCATTGTTTTTTCACTATGCATTATCAATGACGTTACTTTATAAAAAAATTAAAATGCGAATTTCTTCTTAATATATTTTATTCCGGATCGTTTGAAATATTATGTTTATTGAAATCGTATTTTTAATTGCATTTAGCATAACAAACTATGAAAAGTATCTCCTTTTCCGCGAAAGATAACATGAATTGTGTTTAGTTATTTGCTTGATCCTTTTCTTACAGCACATTTTTATCATGACTTTTCTTGAAAGGCCTGTGCCAAAATTATATTTTCCAGCAAGCTATGAGATAATTCTGAGGGCATTAACGTATAAAAATGACATGTTTACTCAGTACTTTTGTTTGGTCTTCAGAGTCGGGGCCGATGGTAGACGCAGTAGGTGGTGGTAGTACGGTGCGAACACGCCTCGCGCGCACCTGAAGACAATGACGCACACAACACCTCGATTGCTATGGCTTCTCTCATGAAAAAGGTAGGTGTCAGACCTGATTTTTTAAAACAGTTTTGTCACTTCGTCTTCTATCATAATGTACGCTTCAATCCGGTTATCTTTTTCCAAGGTACGTGGAATATTTCAAGCTCATCTTTCATCTCATTAATTTCCTGATAAATCACCATGAAGTTGCTGGTCCCAAGCGGCGGGTGTTTTAAGATCAATGCGTTAAATCTATAACATGTTTTTTTATATTTTTAAGTTTCAGCTTTTAACATGAGGAATACGATACGTGTGTATGAGTGGCGGGTGTACCGGTAAGGCAGGATATGCCAAATTTCAATGCTACATTCATAATTATAATATTCGCCGCTCCTTTGCCGTTACGCCCAATGTTTCGGCGAATAATCGAGACTGGTTTTTCGCTGGCGTTGATGTTTGTATTTCAGTGTCATTTCAATGTCGCATCGACAGTAAGAATAGTGTTCTTTCACGTACTTTCAAAATGGGTTTAAATCAAAGCGATAAAAACCCTTTCCACAATAATAAGAAAAATCTATGCTCAGGATAGACTTAGCCGAATCCGCTGTACGATTCAGACCACATCAAATGTATTTGAACCACTCTCAAATAGTGATGTTACATACGATGATTTCCGGCCCTGTACAGACCCTTAAACACAAATATCAGAATACTCCACGCAAGTCTACAATAACTTCGCCTGGGTTACTTCAGCGTCAGGAAAATGAAGAGGTTCTCTGGAATCGACTGAATATACTGAAATCAATTTAACAAAAACGAAATCTTAGAATATATTCATTTCACAGACTAGCTGTCACAATACCTATTACAACAAGAATACTCAATCTTTGTTCCTTGGGTTTGAGACGCCATGGCCCCCGAGAAATTCGAAGAAAGAATGTGACGACTGTTATGTATGATTGTTATGTTTTGAATGAGGTAAATCACGAACAAGTGAGCTGACTCATCTTATTTCGCCACAACTATCACCCATACGTTCATCAAGTTACTTTCTGAGTCACAAGGAATACATTTTTAGCTTGAGTCAATTGCAAATCTAATGAATCTAAGACTTTATGCCTGCTAAACTGTTTGTATATGACTATGTGCGTCTCGCAGTTTATGCTCGCCTGTCTCAATATACGATGATGAGTATGTGTGTTTATATGCGTAGACCTGAAAACATTATATGAGTATTTGAAAATGATATCTAAGAGTGGCTAGAGTTGATTTTCATATTGTATAACCTTTTGTGGGGGGGCACGAGCGGCCAGTCGTTTATGGCGCCACAGTTTGATGTGCAGTGTTGCGTCCCGTAGAAGTGCTCCTTCCCAGCAGCGTCTGACACCTTCAATACACTCCCAGTAACATGGCTGTCATCCGTGGGCACGAGGCCAACACAATCTCGAAATGTGTACCCTTACCCCAAATGTAGTGACATTAATGTTTTTGTGCATGTCTTTTGGAATGACATCCCACAAAGTTTGAAAAGGTTCACGACTGCCAAGGCAAGAAGTAGACATCCACATGAGCACCGTTGTGGATCTTACCGTCCTTCCTTTTGGGTTCGAATCCCGGTTCGCCCCGATTGTGTTTCTAGGTTTGTCAGCACCATACCTGTGCTCGTGGGTTCCACCGTGGTAAACGTCTGAGACCTGCATCACTTCGGGCTTGTCTCCCACATTAAGCAGACACGCCGTGATATAACTGAAATACTGTTGACACTGTTGAAAACCTACTCACATACACAGTATGTTGTCTCGATGACCCTTCCTTGCACATCATGGAGTGGGGTTTGGTCAGTCATAGAGACACCACCCACACCATAGCCGGTCCAGACACGACCAAGCCTGTCAAGGAAGTGCAAAAGGAATCGGGACTCATCTGAAAACTCATCTGAAAACATGACACGTGACCAGCGACGATTACCCCAGTCTCGACCTTGTGTACACCATTGACGTGTGTTAGCAATGTGGCTATTTGTAAGGGGTAGCAGACCACGTGGTCGTCGTGCATAGAGATTTCTAATCGTCTGACCCGTTATCGTACTCCAGTAGCGTGATGTAAATTTGCGGCAATTTGATTAGCCGTTTGAGCTCGATTTCTTAGAGCCCGGTGCCGCTTCTGTGGTCTTGTGGTAGAGCGTCTGCCCGGAGAGCGGAAGGTCCGGGGTTCGATCCCCGGCCGCGTCATACCAAAAGACGTTAAAAGTTGGTACTTGTTGTTACCCTGTCTGGCGCTCGACATTAAGGGGCTAAAACAAGGACTGGTCGGCTCGGAGTCAGTATACTGTGTCTGAGTGGGGTATTCATGTTAAACTGCGGCATGGTATCTCAGTGAGCTAGCACTATAAATCGGCATCAGTCCGGACTAGTACAAGCAGCCACACACACTCACACGTGCATGCACGTCGCTATATAAGTGCAATAATCTTGGACGCGACGTTAAACCCAATTTCACCTCACCTCACCTAGAGCCCGGTTGCGGATCAATCAATCCTATACCTTTGTCGTTGACCTGGAACGCTATGAACGGGGTCGATCGTCAACATTTTGGGTTTGTTGGTACCTGTGAAACAGTGAACGTATGGGTCACTGCACGCTGACGTCTGCCTGTTTCCTGCATGCCAAAAGCCCATAGACGTTTTCCGTGCGTTGCAGACATCGAATCGCTAGTTTATACACAAATTACAATTCAAGCAGAATCCATAAGATTGATAGAAATAATGGTCCGCAGAGATAAATCAACCCTCCTTGAAAGTGTCAAAATCAGGAATGACATCCGACGCATGTGTGTGGCGCTACCGCGTGAGGCTCGTGCAAACTATAGAATGTGTTTTGGTGTTAAGTTTCACAGACATAAACGTTCTTCAGAGTATGTTTGTCGTCAACACTTATCTTCTAATGTGATCCCCTTCTAATTAGAACAGTATACGTATGCCTTATGTTTGCATCTTACAGCGGTTCCTTGTGAACATTGTACATACATATGCCTTATGTTTGCATCTTACAGTCGTTTCTTGTGAACATTGTACATACATATGCCTTATGTTTGCATCTTACAGTCGTTCCTTGTGAACATTGTATAACATTGTACATACATATACCATATTTTTGCATCTTACAGTCGTTTCTTGTGAACATTGTACATACATATGCCTTATGTTTGCATCTTACAGTCGTTCCTTGTGAACATTGTATACACATATGCCTTGTTTCAGCATCATTTTATTTGCATGTTCACGCGCTTTCTTTGTTTTCTCTTGGGGAACAAAGGACGAAAACATGTCGGCGTAAAGCATATATTTTAAGCAGATCGGTGCAGCATTCGTATACACGTCCTTGGTAAGAATGAGTCACTCCCTTCCGGATCCCTACTTAGCGCGAATCCAGACAGCCTTTCCTCAGCGTAGCTGTAGGCTTTGTTTCTCGCATATAGCAGCTCAGAGAATTAAAGAATGTTCATCAAACTTGTTAATCATCCCTTGACTTATAATCGATGAGATGATGTAGCGTAGTTTGCGTGGGGATGTCAAGGGTGATATAATGGTCCCATTCTTGTCATTCCCTTTGGTGTTTAACCTTAACACTTTTCATCGATGCCTGCATGTTCAGATTCAAATGTCATAACCTTGCAAATGGCCGGAAACAGAACCCATTTACATTTCAAACGTAAACGTTTGTGCATGCAAAAACATCTCGATCTGTCTCAGCAATATCATTGTGTCAGATTACCTCATTCTGAAAGTCGGCGTTAGAAATGTTGTTTTCATGTGCTGTATAATGAGATATCTTGGTTTGGTTGATAGATCGTGATCTACCTGACGACAACAGATTGGATTCCGGCAAACGCCATAGTTACCAAACATTGTTGTCCACAGAGTCTGTTCTTGCCATGGTAACAATCTGTGATTTTGAAACAATGATATATGAACACTGGAGAAGAGAAAGTTGTTTACGCGTACCGCTGATTCCAATATTGAATAACAGTTATGTTGCCTTCATAATTGAACTGTGAAATGCTTTGTGCGTGGCTCAGTGTAATCATTGTCGGCGTCTCCCAACTTGTATATACTAAAATAGCCAGTTATTCACAAATACACAAATGCCCGTAACTTATCTCCTCTCGGTAGAAACACTGTCCCAAAATCTTTTATCATTCCCAAACTGCGGTCATATAGCTGGAATATTGGTTTTAGTGCGGCGTTAAACAACAAACAAAACCTAGCATTCCCAAAGTCAAGCATTTATTTCCGTCCCTTCCAAACCCCTCAGGGAAATTATGTGAAGAATCCCAATGTAATTGCTTTAGATTGATGAGGAAATAAGCCAGACAATATAAAGAGTGACCAACAAATTAGTATTCAATCATGCATCAATGTTATACAAATTAAAGAAATATACATTCCCCAAAATGCCACGAAATGGTAAATGGTATAAACTCTTTTCTGAACAGTTTACAAAACTTGGCTCCTCAAGTGTATTTGAATGTAACTGTCAAAGTTAAAGCAATGTTATAATCCCATTGTTCTACAGATCTCCTTTCTGCTTGACGGGGCATAGGCGGCCCTGTCGTCTAAGGCGCCGCAGTTCGCTGTGCAGAATCACACCAGAAACCTATGATTGTGGGTTCAAAACCCGATTCGCCCCGATTATGGTTTGTCGGCATCATACCTGTGCTCGTGGGTTTCACCGAAGTGGTAAACGTCTGAGAGCTGCATCACTTCGGGCTTTGCTCCCACATTAAGTTGGCACGCCGTGATATAACTGGAATACTGTTAAAAGCGGCGTTAAACCCAACTCACTCACTCACTCACTCACTTTTCCGCTGGACTATACACTCGAGAAACTGCTGGAATTAGTTTTATAAAACTGAAATTACCTGGTAAAACATAAATATTCAAGTTAATAAATGATTCATTTGTCATCCAAAATTCACTCACTCACTCACTCACTCACTCACTCCACCGCGCTGTCCCCTTATTCTCAGCTGTCTTTAACAAAGCAAAGCTATGTCAC